GTTATGAATGTAATCAAGTTCTCTATAATGCAAAATCTTTTGAAGATTTCTTTTGGCTCATAAGATGTCTTCTCATCTCCAACTGACTGATGCAAGCTGCATTAAAAACCCTTTTTAATTTTTATGGTCTTTTTTCAAAGAGCAAATATCTTTTAGTATCAGTATGGATTATATTTTACCAACTGTCATTTTTCATCTTGCTATCTTTATTTTATAAAATTCTCCCTACCAAATACAAGTTTCAACAAACCCTGAAAACCAAGATTGACTAAGAATTGGGCAGCAGATTAATACTTCCTATCTTTATAAAAAATCATGATAGTTTTGCTTTCTTGCCAGTTGCATTTTAGCAGTAAGTAGCTTTGAGACTTCTGACTACTTGTTTCCCAGTGATACATCAAAAGTAGAAATGACCGGCCCTTGCTCTCCCATTTCACGGGGGAAATTACCAGCCAGAAAAACTGAGTGATGAACCAAGGCCTCCCACTGAAGCCATAGTAGAGACAATCCCAGAACCCAAGCACTGACCTTGCATCCAGTAAGTACCTCTCCATCCTGCGTGCCCCATTCGGAAGAGCACTGAAGTACCACTTAGTGTGCTTTCTGTGATTATTTGCTTTTTGGCATATTATCCAAGATATGCTACTTAAAACTTAATGCCCTTTAGAATGATTTGTGACATTTCATTCTTTTAACAATATTAACATTATAAGCTAGTTTGGAATTTTATTACATACTCACCATTTTAGGTAGAAAAATATTCTCTGACAATCTGGATTCCTCATCCAAGTATCCTCCCTTCATCTCTCAGGAGGTAAGAAATCAAACATTGAGAATTGGAATTGATTCAGGCTCACATATGGTTTCATTTAAAGCATCAATAAGTTAATTAATGTTTCCATCCAGAACTATTTTGTAATTGTGCCTAAGGTTGAGACTCCAGAATATTTGACATTATTATTTACAGACAATAGAAGCTAATGGGATAGAATGGAGCACTTAGCAAACACTAGAATATCAGTCTCATCACAGTGCCCCAAGTATATTTATATTTGATTGATTCATTCATTTGTTAAATGAACATTGATTTTTCTGGATACTAGGTGTGTGTGTGTGTGTGTGTGTGTGTGTGTGTGTATGTATGTATATACTCAGCAACTTTCAAGACAAAATCCATGAAGCTTACATCTAGTGGGATTGTCAAACAAGAAACAAGGAAGCAAATAAGATAATTAGGATGTGATTGTGAGATAGAAATACACAAGATGATGTGATAAACAATAAATGAGAATGACTAACTTTATGTGGAGTTGTTAAGAAAGACCTCTCTTAAAAGAGGGCATGTAGGTCGATCCCTGAAATTAAGAATGAATCAGGCATACAAAGAGCTAGAGAAAGGAGAAGATTGCAGCCAGAGGGAACCACGGAGGCAAAAACCTTGTGATGGGAAGGGCTGCTGTTACCTGTTAACCAAGAATGTAAATATTTTCCTACCCACTCAGTGCTCATAGGAATACTGTGGTGACACATTTAAATACCAAATGACTTAATTTGGGTTGGATATGTATACTAAGTAATAAAGGAGAAATGGAGGTCTTTTTCTCCACTTTCAGAAAGTAAAGAAAATTACTTGGAGATACAAGAGAGTAACATAAGAAAACATTTAGAGCTCTGTAGTTTGCTTTCTGTAATCAAATGCTGCATTGCGTGAGGTCAGTTGTCAATGTAGAAGTATACAGAAGGCAAAGATCTTGGCCTGGAATTGGGACTTGGCCTGGGCCTTTAAGAGTGGGTGAATATGGATTGCCCCACAGGAGGCAGAAAAGGTTGTTTCAGGTTTAGAGAACTATAAATAAACATGCTAAGGTGGTCAGAAAAAAATTAAATATGCAAAAAGATGGAGATGTTACCTGACTGTATTGTAGTAATCATTTCATGATACATACATATATATATATATAATCAAATCACCATGTTGTACATATGTTGTACATCAATTATATCTCAGTAAAGTTGGGGGAAAACATTTAAGAAAAAAAGATAACTAAAGTGGACTGAATTTGAATGAGTGCTTGAGACCATGGAGACTCAAGCTGGAGCCAAAGTGATCTTCAAAATAACAGAAGATGGTCTGAGTCATAGAGGTCACCGAGAAGTCAACAGAGCAGCTTCAGCTTAATGTTTTAGAAAACAGAGGGAATCATTATCATTTCTTCGACAAGAAAGTTGTACGGCAAAAAGAGAACCTGGATGATATAGATGCAGATTAATGAAGACAGGAGGGAGATTCAAGAATGGGAGACTAGGTAGACAGACCTGCTTGATGATGAAAATATGGACTATACTCATATCATGGAAAGGGAGTGATATGAGACATTTCAGGGAAATTAACATTGATGCTTGATGACTGAACAGCTGTAGGTCAAAATTCAAAATGCTACTCTCTCTTGTCCCCTGGGACTGATTGAGCAGTTCAATGATGCACCTAGAGAAATTTGCATGGGATGTTAAATGATTATTTCATATTGGACATGTTAGGTTTCAGAAGACAAGACACCCAGGTTGTCAGGTGCGCACACAAGTAGAAATACAGAACTGGAGTTAAAATAGAAAGTTGAATTTGGGAATGCAAAGAGGTGATAGGAACTGAGGACTTAGCTCTTGAGAATGAATGCTTATGATTAAGAGTATGTATTTGGGGAGGGGACACAACAGAGAGAAAGAGAGAGGTGGGTGAGGAGCTTGGGTGAGCAGGTAGGGAGCCGGAGGAGATAATACAAAAGCAGCAGACAAAGACAAGACAAGAAAGAATTTCAGGTAAATGGGGGTTGTTCTTTGGGAAGCACCGTCATCATTAGCACCATAAAAGCAACAGCTAACTTTTAGAGTGATTACTATGTGTCCTAAGGTCTTTAATATAGTAAAGCATTCATTTCTTTCCATAACCTTTAAAATAGCACACTATCTGGTTTTCCCCATTTTATAGATGAGGAAGCATAGGCACAGTGAGATGCTCAAGATTTCCAGTTTGAAGAAGTGGAGCGGCAATTCAAATACAGGCATTGTGTTCTCAAAGCCTGTGCCCTCAACTCCCATGCCATATGGTTTTAATATCTATAGTGGTGTTTAAATTACTTACTTTAACTTCATCTTACGTGTCTTGAAAAGGAGTTAATTAGTTAACAGTTAACAGTTGGATAGATACTAGAAAGTCAACAGATGGCTGGGCAATGAATGGATTCTATGTAGCAGAAGAGAAGTTGGAATTCTGTAGGGTAAGGCAGAGAAAAAGAGAAGGAAGAATATACCTTTTGGTCTATTTTTTCTTTTCCTCTCCTTCTTTACACTGTTAGCAATTGAAACAGGAAACTGTCCACTTTAAAAGAGAGCTAAAATAATAATTAATGGAAAAAATGGCGATTTTTTTAGCTCTACAGATGTCTGTAACCTTATTTATGTACCAGGAACATTACTTTATCTAAATTGACTGTCAACTAGATTTTTACATTAAAACCTTACGTTCTTAACATCTATTACTAAATGAGAGATAGATTCCAAAGGAGTAGAGTTTCAGAAATAGCGTCAATATTGGTAATTGGATCATCTTCAGTCTGGGAGCCAAAATGCCTAGATTTCTCTCTATGGGTAGTCTCATATCTCAGAGCAGGAGTTATGGGACACAGGACTCTGGGGAAGGAACACAGGACTTCTTGGACAATGACTTTAATAAATGCTTCCCCATGGCCTAGAAGAGGACTTTGCTTCCATTCTCCATGGTTTTCAGGGCACCCCTAGCCTTTCTCACATCTCCCTTGTTTGAGGAAGAGGTAGAAGGATACAGTTAAGTTCCCAGCCCACCACACTCAGTCATACAGTATGGCAAGGACAAGGGACGAGGCACTGGCTTAATGCCACAGCTGTAGCAGTCCTTCCTTCAGTGCAACTGAACTCTTTGGACCTAAAACTATGAATGGACATCATCTAATTAATCTTCCTAAAGTACAATCTGCTCAAGTGGAATGAGCTTAAAAACTTTCAGTTTTTTCCCATTGTAAAAGAATGAAATGCTTTGTCTTATATTTACAACCCTCCATGGTTTGGGTCCATGCTATGTATGTCCATCCTTATTTGCCAGTATCCCCCCTGTTTTGCCCCAGCAAGCTGACTTACTCCGTGTCTTTGGCAGGCCCCCACCTGCCTCCGTCTGTGTTCACCCTCATGGCTTCAGTGAGCCCCCTCTACTCCATGCTCCTCACTCCAGTCTCCAGTGTTATTAGCCCATATTGTATGTTGTATACTGTTCCCTTCTAAATGCCTTCTCCTCCATGCAACCTTACTGAACTCAGCTACACTCCTAGATACTTTTATCTCCAGCTCTCATTTTATCTGTATTCTAGATATTTATGTGCATGTATTACCTCCCTTACTAAATTCTGGGCAGAATCTGTACCTAATTTAACTTTGTATCTTACATCTCTTCTACACTTAACATCAGAGGAAGTTAAAACTGCAAAGGACTGATAATATATTGATTACTTGTAATAATGTATCTTTTTAAAACTTTTTTCTCTGTACCCTACGAAATAAGTGAAACTGGAATAGGGCCAGATCTCCTGATGTTCAGTCCAGGACTTATCTTACAGCAGTGGTTCTCCCCCAGGCTTGCACATTAGAACTACCCGATATCACCTGTGGTGCTTTTAAAAAATCTGTTCCCCAAACCATAGAAATTAGAATCCTAGGAGTATGACTGATACATCAGTATTACTCAAATCTCCCCACATGATTCTAATGTGCAACCAAGATTTGTAATAAATTCCCCACAGCACATTAGCCCCTGGGCCATTCTTACTTTACTGGGTAATTCTATTAAATTGAGAAACTTTTCTATTCCCATATAAAGAAAATTTTAAAGTACGAAAGTGCTGAATGTGAGATAGTGGTATAGTACTTTTTGTTTTGCTTACAACAGTAGCTTACTTAACTGTTTAACTTTTCAGATATTTCGAAAGAAAGCAGTGGAACTTGGGGTAAAATTGCTACCTGCATTTCATACTCCCTCTGGAATACCTTGGGCATTGCTGAATATAAAAAGGTAAAGCTCTTCATTTTCAACAACGTATTTTAAGTTGGAGTATTTGAGACCGTGGTCTAACAATAGACACTGGATGGATAATTACTTGTATGATGTTGGTACTGACACCGTCAGGAGTCTTGGCATTTGTCTGTGTGTTGGAAGCAATTAGTCTTTCAGGGTTCCATGGCCTTAGATGGGCCTCAGTCAGGAGACTGCATGACCCCAGCTGAGTCATCCAAGCCTGATATGGTGTGAGGTTTTCACTATTTCATGGTGATGCTGCATCAGTGATACTGTCTTGCTATAGATACTGAGAGCATCCCATTATCTTTAAAATTGTCATCAGAGCATTTCATTTCCAAAGAATCCAATTCCTCAGAGTACTTCAGTTAGGCTGCTGGTCAGAGAGATTGCAGAGCTAGCACACTTGGGCTAATGAGAACTCCTATCGCAGCCGGTGTAAGTGAGACCTGGAGCACCTGAGGCTGTCCAGCCCACAGCTGTAAAGCAGAAGCTGCTCCATCGGCCCAGATCAGCCCAGCCTTCACAGCCCATCTGGGTGGAGAACCTTGGTATACCAAGTCTATAGACATGTTGCTCCAAGACAAACTTAGGCTAAACAGATACAGATATTCTCCTAGGGAGTACTTTGGATTTTCACTATAGCTTGAGCCTTTTGTTAATAAGCAATTTTACCTTAAGCTTCCTTTTTAAATCCTTCTTCCCCATAAGTAGTTAATTGTATATGCACCTCTTTGTGATGGTGGTGATGACGATGATACCTATTTTATCATCATAAAATAAATGAGTCTTTGTTCTAGGTTCTTTACACATAATTCCACACTTAATCCCACAACAACCCAATAAGGTCAGCAGTGTTATTATCTATAGTTTACTAATAAGGAACTTGAGTCACAGAGAAATTAATTTGCCCAACATCATATGGTACATAAATGGCAAAGCTAGAATATGTCTTTAGACATTTCTATACACCTTGACACATAGGTACAAATTAATCAGCTTTTCTGTTTGAGAAATGCCAAGAGGATGTACAGGCTGGTTTGGCAGGATTAATACATGTTTCTTCTTAATTACTTATTTTAGCAACATTCTTTCCAAATTAATCAGGAAATTAATCATTTGGCTAATAAATCCATTACATATCATGCATTGTCTTCATTTGTGTGTTCTATATCTATACCTTGAAATAACCCTGTGCCTGTCTAAAATTGTATATGTGTTTGGGGTGGGAGTCGGGTGTTGGAACAGTGAGATGGGGAGAGTCCACACCACTGTGCCATGTTACACTGAGTCATTCTCTATTGTGTGACATGATATCTCAAGGTCCGGTTTTCTTGTCCAGGTTCCATGGCTTTCACTGTCAGCTTGACGATCATAGTATACACTGCCGGGTCTTCAGGCAGGAGTGGGAAGAAGCTTTGCTTTGAGGAAGTATGGAGTTTGTTGTGAGGGCCATCAGTTTTTTATTTGTCTCATGTAGATCACCTATATTACTTTCCCTATCTTCAGACTTTGTATTTATATATAGTATTTTGACCTAGAAACTACTGTTACTGGAAATAAGATCTGGTTACAAACATGTTTTGTGTGTTTAACACATTTACCCCCCTACCCTCTGAGAAAAACAATAGGGGCATAATAGCGCATGGAGTTAATTGGTTATTAAAGACCAGGTTCTGGAAGCAGCCAAGATGGTGGTGTGAGTAGAGCAGCGGAAATCTCCTCCCAAAACCATATATATTTTTGAAAATACAACTACCCCTAAAAGAGAGACCAGAAGATACAGGACAGCAGCCAGGCTACATCTACACCTGTGAGAACATTACATAATGATAAAGGGCTCAGTCCAACAAGAGGATATAACCATTATAAATATATATGCACCCAATACAGGAGCACCAACATATGTGAAACAAATACTAACAGAATTAAAGGAGGAAATAGAATGCAATGCATTCATTTTAGGAGACTTCAACACACCACTCACTCCAAAGGACAGATCCACCAGACAGAAAATAAGTAAGGACACAGAAGCACTGAACAACACACTAGAACAGATGGACCTAATAGACCTCTACAGAACTCTACACCCAAAGCAACAGGATACACATTCTTCTCAAGTGCACATGGAACATTCTCCAGAATAGGCCACATACTAGGCCACAAAAAGAGCCTCAGTAAATTCCAAAAGATTGAAATTCTACCAGACCACAAAGGAATAAAACTAGAACTAAATTGTACAAAGAAAGCAAAAAGTCCCCAAACAACATGGAGGCTTAACAACATGCTCCTAAATAATCAATGGATAAATGACCAAATTAAAATAGAGACCAAGCAATATATGGAAATAAATGACAACAACAACACAAAGCCCCAACTTCTGTGGGATGCAGCAAAAGCAGTCTTAAAAGGAAAGTATATAGCAATCCAGGCATATATAAAGAAAGAAGAACAATCCCAAATGAATAGTCTAATGTCACAATTATCAAAATTGGAAAAAGAAGAACAAATGAGGCCCAAAGTCAGCAGAAGGAGGGACATAATAAAGGTCAGAGAAGAAATAAATGAAATTGGAAGAATAAAACAATAGAAAAAAATCAATGAAACCAAAAGCTGGTTCTTTGAGAAAAACACAGACCTGGTTCTAAGTGTTTTACAGCAATGCCAGGCATCTTTAGAGCAATCATTTTCACTCTCCAAGCTTAGCTATAAACTGGAAGCTAGGCTACTTCAATTAGTTCTCTTATGAACCATTGCAGGTTCACAGTTCACTTTGAAATGCTGGTGAAACACTGCCCTCTCTTCTTAAAATCCATATTCCTGAGTACACGTATTTTTACAGAATTTCCGGAAGCTAACAGTACCATAGGATCCCATCTAGGACCTAAGGATCTCAAGTTTCAAATGCTAGAGTAAATGATCACTCTAACTTCTAGTCTAAGATTCTGTGGAGCTAGTTTCTTGTTGCTTTCTGTAAAGTAATGAAATTAGATAAAGGTCTACTGAAACTAATAGAGGTGTGGACCTACATCTTTGCAAAAGTTCAATCAATTATTGTAAGTTGCTGATATTATTTATTAGTTGTAGCCTCTCTTAAAATAAGCATAAAAGTTAGATTATTTTAAAGCATATTTAACTTTACTTAGTATTTATTTCTAATAGCCAAAAGGATTTTTCTTTTGTTTAAGCTATTCTCATTGTTCAGTGGACATATTTTTCAGTAAATAAAGGAACACTTTTAAAAACTATGAACGCCAAATACTCTACTACATTTCATATCTGTGCCTCTTGAAAATTCCTTAACTGGGGCATCTAACTTTTTTACAAGATGTTATTTTGCATTTACAGTATTTTACATTTGAATGTTTTAATTTCAAAGATTAGAGGAAAAATTGTGTATGGTGAAGAATAATGTGCCATTTCACTTGTGATTCTCTAATGTTTTCAAGTTAAACTAGAGGAAATTAGGAGACCATTTGATGCTGGTAGGAACACTTATAGTTTCTTCCTGGGAACCTGTATGAATTTTTTTATTATATATTTTTATCCACTTGAATCCCACTTACCAAATAACAGTAACTTTACCAAATTCATGCAATAAGCCACAGCAAAATTTATAGTATTATCAAGCCACTAAAATTTCTCCTGTCCTTTGGCACAATCAAGTATGCTCATCAAATCCACTCTCCTTCCAGCTGTGGAGCTGATTTATCATTTTAAATAATTTCTCTACAGGGAAAGAAAACAATATTTTGTATCTATTTGCAATAATTACATTTCACGGTGTGCTGTTAATGTCATCCTGTTTCCTCTGAATCTCTGTATTTTCACAGTATAGGCCAGGGGATAACGGATAGCTGGCATAAACTTTCTAGTTTTTTGAAAGCTGTCACCAATAGAAATTTCAAAGCAGAGGGGGAAAAGTATCTATGGCAAAATCCTATTTTCTTAATTACCTTCTCAGAATAAAGGTGTGTCTGTAGAAGGACGCCCAAGAGAAAAAAGTGCTGGAGGATACTTTTTAGAATAGCTACACAGTCACTGTTGACTGGCTTTGAAACTCTTGGTGATAATTATGATGCTGTCTGTAATACCACAATTCTGTTCTTCCCTCTCAATTTTGAAAAAGAGTTCCGGATGCTGCACTTTGCCAACACCTATATGTTAACAAAAATGTGAACTTATTGGCATTATCTGTTTATATTTCTCTAGTATTCAGGTTATTGCATAAAGATAATTGGTTTCTTTACCTTTTCTTAGTAAGAATAATATTAATAATAGTAATAAGCATTTGTTTTAGTCCCTGCTGCAATAAAGGTTCTATGCTAGGTCCTGGGAAGATTTTCTGCTTATCTTAACTTTATTTAAAAAGATACCAAATATGATCTTTCTCACAGTGTACTCATAGCCCGGTTGGTAAAGCAGAATATATATATATATATGTTACTGTATCCTACATTCACTCATGTAATTGACAAATGTAAAATAGTCTGTGCCAAGGAAGATAATAAGTTCTCACCAGGTTGAATTTAAAGCAAGCAGTATTTTGAGTTGGGGAGGTTCATGCATTTGGAGCCAAAACACCAATAAGCCAAATTGGATTTCAGTATATGTGCAAACTAAAAATAGCAGAGAACCTAAATAATTTATTCATGTTCTACGCTAGGGACTCAGTCCCAAAAATCTGTTCAGAAAAAAATATAATTATCTCCTCTGCTATATCTATAATAAATTCTTAAATTCAAAGACTGCTATATTAAATTATAAATTAATCAGAATTGTGATTTTAAAAACAAGTTATCACTTGATTGAACAGACACTAGGTGTTATACACAGTACCTGATTAGACTAACATGCTTGCCTCACCAATACGATAGTAGAATGAAAATACGTAAGTTATATAATACCTCTGCTAAAGGGAAAGCATTGCCTTTTTGACAGATTAGATTTTGGTAGAACTCAATTTCTTTAATATGAAAATGTCAAAATTTGATGTC